TTGTTAATGCTTTTTCAATATCCGTACCCAAAAAAAAAAAAAAGAGCTGGGCCATTGGGGAGCGCAGCTTATCGCACGGTTGCATTTTCTCAGGTAACACTGCACCAGAGCCGGTGCTGGGCAGCAGCTTATCTTTATTTTGGTCATTTGCCCGACAGCCGATCATCAATAATGAAATGCAACTGCCGTTGGCAGAGCTTGCATCGCGCTCGATTTATCAGCGCCGAGAGACGACTTCAACTAAACGCTTTATCGCAAAGTCTCGTCAAGAGATACGCTTCAAGGTGGAGTTGGGGCTGCTCCGGCTGCGATTCCCGCGGACACGAATTAATTCAACGCCTTGGATTTGTCATTTGATAGAGAGAGAAGGAGAGTGAAAGAGAGAGAGAGAGTGAGGGAGAAGGAGAAGGAGAGGGAGGGTAACACGTTTTGATAAAAGCGCTGCCGCCAGCAGCGAGGGATTTCGGCTGGACTCCTCTCTAGAAATCAATGCCCGTATGGGTAATTAATAAACGCCCATAAAGATGCGGACACAATAAAAATTCCAAGCTTGCAAAGAGACAGACATAGAGAGAAAGAGAGAGAGAGAGAGAGCGAGAGACTCAGCCTCGGCTTTGTTTCCTCTGAAGAAAAAGGGTTTCTTTCATCGTAGTTCTTTTTATGATCTGCAGCTGGGATGCCGGGATTAACTGGATTGGTGTGAGCGTCTCTCACTCTCCCCAACTCCAACCCCAACCCCAGCCCGAAATTCATGGCTGACCATTTGGTGTCCGAGGTTAGGGCCCTTTTGTCGACTGGATTTGAAACTCGAACCCGTTCGGATGTTAGGTAATCGACGCGATAAGAGAATTAAGAAATCAAATCCATGACTCTGCCGATAGTTGAGTGAACTTCTAGGCATCTTTAATTGCACTCTCATCATTTATTTATTGCTTTGGGCGGGCGAGAATTTGAATATGATGTAGTAGATAATTATGGGCCACAGGATGAACTTGCTGTCGAGGGCGTAATCTTGATGATGGTCATTAAAGGCAGCTGCTACAGCAACCACTTTCCACTCTCCAAGTTGTTTTCGGCGATCTATGGACTTAATTAGCTTTTGTTCAGCTCACTTGAATATTTTGATAGGCATATGGAACGGCATTCCAATTGCTTGTTGATGATACTCAAGAAGCACCCACAATACGATATTCATTTTAATAGCCCCAGATATGCATCTGGCCGGGCTTAATAAACCCATTGGGCAAATCACACGAATTTGTAGCGCTCTAATGATCAACAAACTAAGATCTGATGCTCAGATATCTGATCAATTTGTAAGGTCTTTAATGAAGACATATTTGACGGAACGAAGCGAGCTTTGAATGCCGGATTGAACTTTGGCATTCTTCAATCTRTATTTATTGTTATTATTTATTTATTCTCAGTTTCCATCACTGCGAATGCCCTTCTCGGAAAGGTTTGCCATTGATTGAGGCAAATAAGAAAAATTAAAAATAAAAAAAAATTCAATTAAATGAAACCTGTTGCCCGCTTGCCTTGCTGAAGATTCACAAAAGCTAAAATCCAATTCAATTTGCATTTCCTGTTGAATTCCCCCCTCAGCCTCGTAAACAAAATCCAATAAACAAAATATATGTATATATATAAATAAAATTAAAAAGAAGCAGAACAACAAAAATGTTTTGTAATTTCCTTTTCTTCTGTCTGGGACTCTGAACAAAGGCGCAAACAAATTACACACAAATACTCGCAATTTCGGGGGAGGCTGGGGGCGTGGCAATGCCAAGTGACGTCTGTCCTGTCTCCTGACTCGCTGCGTTAATGCCAGGCGCAATTAATTCGAGCAAATCGTCTGTGAACCCTTTTTATGACTCCCCATGCCAAGGCAGTGGAGGAGGCGGAGGCGGTAGGGGAGGGGCAGGCGCAGCTCTTGCTCAAATAAAAATTCATTAAACGGTGAGACCCGCAGCTCTTGCTGTGTTAGCTTTGAACCGAACCGCGCAAATAATAAACGCGAAATAGGCGCACAAAAATCCATATAAAAATTTTCTTCAAATGCCAGCCAAATTGATGCGCGATTTGCGAATGAATACACTGCGCGAAATAGTGGGTGATGGCTGGAGAATTTGCAAATTAAATTAACTAAAAGTATGTAAATATTTTTTAAATAAAGTTGGTATCAAATATTCACATATGGAATTTACTTGAAATCACTTTACAAAATATCTTCGGCATTTTCCCAGAATTTTCCATGTAACTCTTCGATTTCCTGCTGCCATATATATCTCCAAATAAATCACATTGTCTTTAACAAAGATTTGTAAAAAGTTTTCCTTTGTTATTTGGTAAAAGGTTACGCGAGTTTGTCCGAAAAACGTATAAAAGTGGAAAATGTAAATGCTAACTGAATGAATTTTCCGGGGCAGAAATACCTGAGAGCATGGCGCGTTTTAATGAGCACCATAAAATCGAAGCGCCGGCCACTGCGCCGGCGAGGGCCTGCAGAGGGTAAGCGAAGGGAAGGGAGGGCCAGTTGAAGTGTAACAGGTGCGATAACAACAAAAACAGCGTTGAATGTCTGTCTGGCCAGCAGCCAAGACAATGAAATTATAATGAAGATTATGTGTAAAACAAAGTGCGGCCCGCTTAGGTAGTCCAAAGGTAGCCAAAGGACATTCAGGAAAAGCGCGTTTTAAAGCTGCCACAGCGATTCGTTCGTTCGCGTTGTTTGCTTTGATATTTTACCGACGCGCCGAATACGCTTTATGGCAGTATCGACAGAGAGATGAAAGTAAAGCGAGCAGGAGCGGGCTGTGCATAATATTATCTCAGAGAGAGAGAGAGAGGGAAAACACAATACGAAAAGAATTTAAGCGGATTTGATGAATTCAAATGGAATGCGAGAAAAGTTGTTGATTGCTGAAACTAGCGTGAAACATGACATCAATGTAAAAACAACTTGAGATGCTATTGGTAAAGAAGGAGAGACAGAGAGAGGGCGTGAGACAGAGAGGGAGGGAGAGATTCAGCATCTCTGCCCATTTGGCGTGCTTCCTTTGGAGTACTTGTCACTGCCACGATGACTGACAAGTTTATCCTTTGTGGCAGCTGCATCTTTTCATTATGGCACAGCTACCCAGGGCAGGCCCAGGCCAGGCCGGGCCACTTGCTGGCTATCTGCAGGTCAATGACCCCGGCTAACAGAGCCAGTGCAAGTTTTGTGCCGTGTAACGCGCATTGTTGGCCGCCGCTGCTGCTGCTGCTGCTGCTGTTGAATGCTTCATATCCATCATAGTGTTCATAGTCATGCCCATGCTCTATGCAGTTTTGCCTATTCATTTGTCCTGGCGTTTCGTCTGTGCGCTGGCCCCCGCCYCCTGYCCGGGCCCACCTATTCCAGATCTTCAACTTTTGATACCCATCTGAATTTGCATTATTTTCTTTCGCTCTTCATTTCTGCTGCTGTTGCCGCTGTTTACTGTCATTCTGATTTTAATCTTTACTACGCTGCCTGCTCCCTCCTGCCTGCTGCCTGTTGCCTCCTGCTTGCTGCCAGCTACCTGCTGGCCTCTGATTGCTCCCCGCCTTCTCCCGCTGCCCTGCTCCTGCATTGCTTTATTTAGTTTTTTTAATTTTTTTCCTCTGCTCAGCTGCCCTGTACATTTGTTGTTGTTGTTGTTGTTGCCGCGTGCCCAGGTGAACAGGTTCCATTTCTTCTCCTTCCCGCTTCTTGTTGTTGCTGCTGCTGTTGTTGGCCTGGCCAACATCCACTTGACGTTTCATTCGCATTTCATTTGCCGCATTGCCCGATTTAAGTCTGAAAAAGTATCCTAATTGGTATTAAAATCGCTGTTATTCTTTACTCTCTGTCTCTCTCTCTCTCTCTCTCTCTCTCTCTCTCTCTCTCTCTCTCCATCTCATTCGATGCCCTTGTTGCCCTGTCTCGACGTGAATGACTTTCTTGTTGTTCTTCATGCTGCTTCTGTTATTGTATTTTGATACTTTAAAAGGCAGATCGCAAAGCATTTACGCATTTACTGTATTCAAATTGCATTCGGCTCCTAAGCACAGGACGCGGCCTCGGCTTGGCTTGCGCATCTTCTGATTTAATCACTTACAGCTCTGATAAGAATCAAAGCGAAATCGCTTCTGTTTGGCTGGACAGCGATTAAAGTGCCCGATTACGATTCCAGGTATTTGGGTAAATAAGATGGTATTATAGAACCATCTCTGGATTATGTATAAGTAGACCCATTAGACTCATGTTTACTCTACAGAAACACACTTATTTGGATACAATATGTAATTATCGAGAATCATGTAACACTTAACCGTTATGCCTTTAATATTGTGCAGGTCAGTTGAAATGTTAGTTCACTTTGCTAGTTTAGTCCAACATAAGTCCCAAATGTGAGCCTAGTATTTCTCTCACACATTAACAGCATGCGAAGCTCTTTGGCAGCATGTGGATTGCGTTACTCCTAATTTCAAAATAATACAAATTCAAAAGGGTATTTAATTGACAGAATTTCACTAAAGTCTTCAATTTCTAAAGCTTAAACGCAGCAATTAATAAAAAAAAACTTTATGCAAATACAGTAGCCATTACGATTAATGACAACTAATTAGACATCATATTAACAACATGACTTTGATTTATGATAATTGCGTTGATGATGGCTGACTAAATAACTGACTTATTAATGGCAGACATTAATTTCCGAAGTCTTAGATATTGTAAATAGGTAATTCGTATTGTTTCGACTCTGCCGCCAGCAGTTAACAGCAGTTAACGCTTATAGCTAACCGATTTAACATTTAAATTACGCTCAACAGCGCATGCGAGCAAGCCACAATCCACAATGCATGCTGAGAGTAACGCGTTCCACACGCTGTTATCCAACAGACTTGCAAGAGAGAAATGCGTACCACATAGACACTGTTAGCTAACATGCGTGTGCATTGGCCAACCGAACGTTCACTCAGTGTTGCCGAGAGTTTCAAGCGTGGTAGTTGCTGTCGCGGCTGGTGCTACGTTCAATAAACGAATCGCATTCGTTCGTGCGTACGTCTGTCGCAGTCGTGGTCGTCGTCGTCGCCATATCGTGTTATCATATCGTATATATACATATACATATATACGTATAGTCGCCTATACAGATAACGATTAACAGCCAAGATCCTTAGCAGCAACCAGTTGAACAGAGTGCGCTTCAGTTCATCGCGATCCGTTTTCGCTGTGTGTCTCTCCTGTTCCTGTTTACCGTTACGTATAAGGAGCAAACAACGTTCGCTCGGCCCTAAAACAACAATTGAGAAGTAAAGCAAATTTGAAATCCTGAATCTTTATGACAACAAAGCGAGCAAATTAAGAGAGAAAGAGAGAGAGAGAGAGAGAGAGAGAGCGTGCGGCCTTTTTATGTGTTGCCATTAAATTGAATGCAGCTAATGGACGCTGCAGCTGTGCTGCTCCAAAAAGAAAACGAATATTGCGTGGGAGTGTTAGTGTGCGGCTGTGTRTGTGTGCGTGCGTGCAAAAGTGTGAATTATTAAATTAGCGCGATTGCCAGAGCAGGACACAGCACAGAGCGCGGAAAAGAGGAGAACTCCAAAGGAAAACAAAAACGAAACGGGACCGAATTCGAGTACGAAAACGCATACGAAAACGAAAACGGGATACAGCGGATTACAACAAGGATTAAATAACAAAGTAATTTGCATATGTTGAAAATAAATTAACATTATGAATGTCCTTCTCCCAGCTTGCATAACACAAAGTTAACATTAATGTAGACCCGCCCCAGCTCTACACCGCATAACGGATGTCCGTTCATGTCCATGTTTCAAGTCAATGAAAATTTTTAATTGTGCACGCGTGTCGCAACTGACCCCCAAGCCAGCCCTTGGGGTGTGTCTGCAGGTGGAGGGGCGGGTTGAAAGGGGGGCAGCGCTTTTTCTTCCTTTTTTGTTGTACTTGTTTTTTTTTTTTTTTTTTTTTGTATGCCGTGCCGGTTACGCCCCCGTCCTAGCTGCATGTTAGCCGCATATATATCATGCGTATGGCATATATACTACTTGTATAAGTATTACCTAAGTGAACCTGCAGCCGTTCCAGGCTGCTGTCCCCAGCGGAACCCCCAACCCAACCAACTCTGCACCCCCTCAGGTGCTCCCACAGAGCCCTTAGCTGCAGGTGCAACATGATTAGAAAAGTACTTTGAGAGCTTTCGCATTGAAATTAGAGTTCAGATCTTTAGATACTTTTTAATGGGTCAAAGAGCTATACTTCAGAGAGAAACTATTCGTGGAATGATAGTAATTTGACAAGTCATTTGTTGTGCTATTCTTAAAGTTTTTATTATTTTATTATAATTTATTTTAT